TCCTCTACAGTCTGGATTCAGGCCTGGGCACAGTACTGTAACTGCACTCCTCAAGGTCATTGGCGATGTGAAGGCGGGAATGGAGGACACTGAGATCACAGTATTGGTTTTGGTGGACTTCTCAAATGCCTTCAACATGGTCGACCATGATATCCTACTAGCTATCCTTTCCCATTTTTCGGTCTCTGATGACGCACTGGAATGGTTTTCTTCTTATCTTCAGGAGCGTCAGCAATCAGTTCACGTTGATGAGACCTCATCAAACTGGAACCACTTGCAGACTGGCGTTCCTCAAGGCGGTATTCTCTCTCCTCTTTTATTCTCTATTTTCATAAACCTTATTACTTCTGAACTTCAGTGTGCGTACCATCTGTATGCCGACGACCTACAGGTGTACTGTCGGGCTAAGATCGAGGATTTGCCTGGGGCAATCGCGAGAGTGAACGCTGACTTAGCTGCTATATATAATTGGTCTGAGAGGTTTGGAATAGCTGTGAACCCGAATAAATGTCAGGCGATTATGGTGGGAAGTTCTCGTACCTTGTGTAAGGTTGACAGTGCAACTATGCCGCCTGTACTGTTCAACGGTGCGATCATACCTTTCAGCGGCGACGTGAAGAATCTTGGCTTGTATGTTGACAGTAACTTAAACTGGCGTGCTCATGTCACTAGCATATGCCAACGGGTCACCGGGACGCTGCGGGCCCTGTATCGTTTGAGAAACTTTCTTCCGTCCTCTGCTAAGATAATGCTTGTCCAGTCCTTGGTTTTCCCCATTATTGATTATGCTGATGTGTGTTTTTTCGACCTGAATGCAGATCTACTTAACAAACTTGACCGCCTTTTGAATACCTGCATTCGATTCGTCTTCAACCTGCGTAAGTACGACCATGTCTCTGCATTTCGATTGCAACTAAAGTGGTTGCCCATACGTCAGCGCAGGGAACAACGGGCGCTAACCACTTTATTCTCCCTTCTTAATTCTCCCAATTCTCCTACTTATCTTTCCTCATATTTCCAGTATGTGAGCGCTAACCATAGCAAATACCTCCGTTCTTCTAATAATCTTCTGTTACAATGTCCCACACATCGAACTGACTTCCTTCACTCTTCTTTTTTCGTCCAATCCATCTTGCTGTGGAATGCGATGCCGACGGATATCAGGACGGCGACCAGTCGTCTGTCCTTCAAATTTAAGGTTCGTGAGTATCTACAGAAGAGGCTAGCAGACTCAACACACACTTAGGTCTTGTACGTATTTACATATATGTATGTGTATAATTATGTATGTATATATGTTATGTTATGTATTTTCCTTCGTATATTTAGGTATATATATGTCCCATACTTATTTGTCTACTGTTCGTTTTGCATTACGTATATATTTTAATACTTCTTCATTATATTTAATTAGTATATATTGTGTGATATGTATAATTATATATGATGTTAATGTTAATGTTAATTATTGTGTCACTCTAATAAGTGTTAAACGTTTACACCTACTATTGTATCTCTCTGCACCACCCTAAGGTTGACTGTTAGAAAATGCCACTAGGCATTAAGTCCGCCGTTGTATATCTACAAAAAGTGTAAATAAAT